CAACCCAAACTATTCTAGGATTCTATGATTATATGTAAACACTGTTATGAGAGGATCAATATCTGAACAGACAATGTACATGACAATGTTTTAGCTAGCCTTACCTATGTTTCTAAAGTCTAGCACTTCAGGTTTAATGGTTTCATGTTCTCAGCTCTAAAGCACCCTTGGATTAGAATTAGAGAGGACAATTTTCTAGCCCCAGAAGTTACTAACCCTAAAGATGGGAATACTTTATAGACAAGAAGTGATGACAGTACTAAAAAATTACACTTGATTAGGCATAAATAACGATGATTTGAACTCTTATGTGCAAACGAAATAAATTCTGACAGACATAATATATACTTGGTGCTTTAAAGTCAAAGAAGGCTGAAAAATGAGAAGTCAAATTGTTTGAAACAAAAATCTAATCAGAACTAAGAATTAAGTTTTCTTTACAAATCCCTAGATCAGCCTGTTTTTCTGGTTGATTCTTAAAATAGCACACTTGAGTCCGAAAATAGCACACTTGAGTCCGCTATATCATGTTGGGTTTTCTCCTTGTTCTTTAGAAAGTATCTATTTCTATTTAAAGAAAAGGATGGGGTCTAAGCTGTGCAAGAATACAAGTAGTCGGCTGAGACTGCAAGTGAGAAAGTACCCTCTGAAAAGTGTCATCAGAGGCAGGAGTAGGTTATTTTGTTTTGTTGGCATTAAATACTGTGGTGAATTATTGTCGGTGAGCTACTGTGGTAAATTTGTCCTTGTAGATGGAGCCACCCAGTGATGGCTCTCACCAGGTTTGCGTCACAGTAAGAATGACTTGGCATTTGACATCTTGATGTTCATTTATGTCTTGTTAATTTATCTACATGAAAATATTTCTTTGCTGTTCCTTCTTTTTCCAAATCAAGGTGGAAAGTCTGGATGAAAAGGGAAACACAGTGAAGGGTCCATATGCTGTTACAATACATGTGGAGGATATCAATGACAACCCACCAGAATTTGATCAGGCAAAGTACACTGGAGTAGTGAGGCAGAACTCCCGTCCAGGTAATCGTCATAATAATTAAATGTTATAGTTAATAAAAAGCTAGGTAGATTATTTAAACAGGGAGATAAAGTAGGGGCTATACTTCAACAAGCTGAAAAAAGATAAGTTTTCCTTCCCACAGGATTGTACAAAATAAGGATACAAATGTACATAATATAATGAAAAGGCAAAGAGTTGACCACTGTGTGTTGTAAGGGGATGAGTGTAATCAGAAATATTTCATAGTACTTTTTGCTTTGCAAGTATCACTTAACAGGCAAATATTGTTGCCCTCTCCATTGCACTGAACCCGCCCACCCCCATGCCAGAAGGAGTTTAAAGTTAAAAGGTTGCCAAAGACTATAGAGAAAGAGAATTCTAAGAATATGTAAGTCTTTGCACATCAGTGGAATAGAATGCCACTGTAGATATGGGGTATGTGTTTATTGTAACTGATGCTTCTCAGAACGTGGGCTGAACCTTAGTATTTAGGAGAGAGTTTTAGATTATGGATTGCAGTGATCCAGTCCAGAAATCAGGAAAATATCAAAGAGTAGTTCGAGAACCGCATCTTGGAAATGAAGCAAAGGACTTATCCAGCTGTTATCACTGAGACTATGACTCAAGAAGAAACTTTCACTAAAGAATACATATATAAAGCTCCATGGGGTCAGAAAACCATTCTGCAATATTTTACTGTATTCTTCAACTGCATCCAAGTCAAAAATATTTTGAATGTTGCATTGGTGATCAAGAGGCAAAAATTCACTTATGTTACTATGCATTTCTTTTTTTTTCCACTGTATGATTGTTCCTTTAATTATAACTGTGTCACAGCTGTAGGACATTTTTCTCAAGCTGTTTTGGGTTGAACTGATTTGTTTAAGGACTGCAAAGTGACCTTAAAGAGAGATACAAGCGAGCTACATTCGGATGCAGGCACTCTTGATAGCTCTCTGCATTAGGTCTGTCACCTTCTTCATCAACTGGTCTTCACACCTATTGTGATCCTACTAAGCAGAGCTGGTGGAGGGGGGACCTGTGGGATGGTACACGGGCGACGTAACCTTCACACACAAGCATGGCTTACCATGCATTATGAAACACTGTCGGCTTCCCATAAACTGCCTTCCTGGCTAGAGAGCTCTGCTCGAATGGACTGTGTGATGAGGTTTCAGTCTCCTCTTACCACTGTTGCTTCTCTAATCTGAACAGGCAAGCCGTTCATGTACATCCACGCCACTGACCGCGATGATCCTACAACTCCCCATGCGCAGCTGACATACAGCATTCTCCATCATTTTCCCAACCCTTATACAGAAATGCTTTTCCAGATTGATAATATAACTGGAGCAATCTCACCGAGTAAAATGGGTATGTAGAAAGATTCTTGTTTGTCAAAAAACAAGCATTAGTTCTTGGGTGTACCTAGGAATAAAACAATCCAGCTCTGATGTTAAATTCTGAACAAATGTAGCCAGTGGGACATACATACTCCACTGAGGCTCTGGTTTGGGGGAACTTCCTTTGTATCCCACTAAATTCAAGGGAAGTTAGCAGAAATGGAGATTGGGATCTAAAAGTACATTGAGAAGAGAGGTAGATCCTTTGGCCCTCAGGACTACACTGAGTCAGATCTTGGGATTAATTCTCTTCCTTGAATCTAGAAAACCAAAAGCAGTAACATGAAAAATGCAGGGAAAACTCAGCTGGCCACATGATCCCAACTAAACTGCAATGATTTAAAAACCCTGTCTCCTGCTGGGCTGAACAAGTGCCTCACTGGAGTGAGGGCTGTTCAGTGATGCATCGGCACAACATGCGACCACAGCACAGAGATCTCATACAATTATGTCCACACGATGCTGTGCTGCATTGTTCAGAGAAGCCAGAGGAAATGGCTTGCTGAGATTTTGCACAGAGGCCCATCTAAGGAATGAGCCTGGAGCAGAGGAAACAGCATGGTGCATGTAGGAGGCAATGTGCAGATGAACCATCTCCCCAGCCTCTGCTTCATTTCACTTGTCTCTTTGCTTTGCCTCTAGGCTCTCATTACTTAGATCCTCAAAAGCAGGACACCTTCACGCTCGTTGTCACCGTGAAGGACATGGCAGGGATGACAATGAACGCTTTCACCAGCAGTGCTGATGTGATCATCACTGTAAAGGAGAGCCTGTGGAAAGCTCCTGCCACCATCCGCATCCAAGAAAACTCAACCCAGGTCCACCCTGTCAACATCAGCCAGGTAGGGCCCTTGGCTGTGCTCCTTGCATCTCTCCTTGGTGCCGCAGAATCTTTTTTTCCCAGCTAACTGTGAACGTGTCCCCACTGCATTCAACACCAGGCTCATGAGAAGGACTTTGGCATCTCCCAGTTATTTTTTATATGCTATCCTTTCAAAATTATCTTTAGTGCCAGTCTCATTAACTTATTGTTAGTATGAAAGTTAATGGTTTGAAGGTGACGGAGATACAGTCAATAATTAGAGTGACTGGACTTTGCCCTTCAGTTTGGAGGGGCTGTTAGCACCATCTGTGTGAGAGAATATCCCATGGATAGAGGAAACATTTGGAGAATTTTGTAACAGCATAATGACTGGAAGAAAAAAGGGTGCTTTACAAGGCTATTTGGCACAATATGAAACACAAAACTCTTAAGACACCCCAAGGGAGCTCCCAGACAGACATGTGGCAGTTGGGTGCCCCTGCAGAGGTGATGCTCTTCTCTCCTGATGGGTTTCTTTGAGCACTTCCAGCCTTGCTCTATCACCACGGGCCCTCCAGGCTTTGGGCAAACCGAGAGCTAGCCCGTTGAAGGTTATTTTGAGGTTAGTTTCTTCCATCTGCAGAAGAGCCTGGCAGGGGACCAGCTCCACTGCAACCCTGCTGTGGGCAGTCTTCTGCACTTGGGGATGTCTGCTGTGACAAGTTTTGTGTGGCACAGCACACCTGCTATATCAAAAGTCCCTGGGAAGGACTGACATTCCCTCCTTCGGCATCCTGCATTTCCACGGTATTCCTCTTTTCACAATGCAAATGCAAAATATTTTGCAGATAACTGCAGACCGATAGTGATATATACATCAGTAATTATTAACTAACAGGACAGCAGCCTTTCAGAAATGTTTGACTTTGAAAAATGCCTTGGCACTGACACCCTCAATGCCGTCATCCCTTGGACATGACAGGATACCCCAGATCCTGTTTGCAAGAGTAACAGACTTGGTGCTGCTCCCACCAGCTTCAGTGACAGCCCGAGGAAGTCCAGCATAAAAACAGGTGGAAGAAAAACTGACGTGCAACAGTGCTCCTATTTTGGGGTCACTTGTGTATAAATACCATGTGGCAGCAAATGACATGTTGATTCTGCCTAGAATTTCATTAGGGGAAAATGAAATGCAGTTGCTGTTATATAGTATAAAACATAAACAGTAGTACTGGCTCTTCCATTAATTTGGCAGTCTGTTTACTGCATTTCATTTTAAATCAGAAGCACTCCACTAAAGATCCTTCATCGCAGATATTGATGCATGTAAAGAGCATACACACACATACGTGCAGATAGGTACCGGATATTTGTTTTGTTGTTCCACATCTCTGAATTAGATAAACCAAAACAACAGGCAGGAATAGACAGTGTAAGGAGATGGAATAAATTAGTGTCAAGACATTAAAATACATATAATGCTTTCTTCTCATGTATCACCATTTAGCTCCACATCCTCAAACTCTTCCATAAAAAGATAGTGTCATAGCCCACTTGGACAGCTGGAGAAACTGAGGTAAAATGGCTTCACCACAACAATTCAGAGAGCAGAGGTGGATTATCAGTCTGTTTTTCTGCAGCTCTTCCCAAGAGCCTGCCAAACTGCTAATTTTCTGGCTTATGAAGCTAACAGGGATGTAATCTTTTCTGTTTGTGGTCCAGAAACGATCCCTGTTAAATCTCAGTCTACACTTCTGACTTCCTGCCTGACTTATTTTTGTGTTTTTAGGTGCATTCAAATGAGCCAGATGTAATTTATGACCTTTTTGAAAAAGAAAAGCTGCCCAGGTTCCCATTTTCCATCGATCAGAACGGGGTTATTTATGTGACTGAACCATTGGACAGGGAAGAAAAGGATACCGTGAGTAAACACATAAAGCCTTACCAATGGGAGAGACCGTAGCAGGAAGCTGATTATTGGTGTGCGAGTAAATACGAGAAAGCTCACTAGAAGGGACAGAGGGGGGAAAAAAGAAATAAAAGCTTTATTTTTTGTAATTTCTGTTTGGGAATGACTTGATAGATATGAAAGCACATTCTTCTACTACACTGCAAACAGCCTTCAGTTTGGTACCCTACAACATTTCTCCACAGGTCTGGCAGTAGCAATCATTGCCCACAGTGTAAGTATAACATACAACACGAACCAACAATGGCAGGATTGTAGATGCATGAGCAAGAGGTAGGCAGTGGCATTTGTCGAGGTTGGGAGATTTGGATGTTTCAGGTCTACTCCAGATCCCAGGGTCCTCAGGGATCTCTCCACAGCAGAAGCAGAGATTAACTTGCAGTTGCAACTGTAAAGTTACCCTGAAGTTCCCCATCTGGGGGGTCTTGTAGACAGAAAACCCTCGGTACCCTTCAGTTCTTAGAGGAAATTTGGGCACAGAATAGGCCAGAGATCAGATATACTGAAGAAATCCTATCTCTGTATGTGACAGATTAATTTGCAAAGTGACAAAAATGAGATGTTCCTGCTTTTCTTGAAACCTTGTGAGAGCAAGTTCACAGTGCAGTCAAGTATTCAGGACTTGTACATTCTTTTGAGAACGCAGACCTCAGGCACTAAGGGGTGATGGAAGAGTTCTGAATTAAACAGACTGAAAATACTGGACAAACATACGAGAGGATATATCACCTGCATGGAATGCTCCCATAGTTACACATTTAAATGCAAAATATTGTCACAGTGGACATTCAACACATCTAACCTCAATATTCTTATTGCAGTATACTTTCTTTGTGGTCACAAAAGATAAGGAGGGAGAACTGGTGGACAAACCTCTGCACATTCATGTTATTGTGGAAGACATTAATGACAATCCCCCTGTGTGCAAGCAGGCTGTCACTGTAATTGAAGTTCAAGAAAATGAAGGGGGAGGTAAGAAAATGTCTTCTACTCATTTATACACATCATTCTAGTTCTGTTATTGTTTCCAGCTCGGTGCAAATAAAGCTAGAAATTCTGGTCCTAAAGAGTGAAATGTAGCTCTCCTAGAGAAATGTTTTCCTGTGCAAATAGCCCTGTTGTTTTCACTTCAATAATTCATGTGGAAAGGATTTCAATAACCTGAGAACAGACCCAAGACCCCTACTTAAAAAACGCTGTTCCATCTAAAATACAAAATTGCATTTTCCCACAACCACAGTTTTGGACAACTGTTTAGAATGTAAAAAGAAAACCACTCTTTTTATAACTAATACAAGAAATACTGCTCTAAAAGCAGCATGAGCCCATTTTCCTTCATCCATATGCTTCTCCAACATAATGCTTTTGACTTCAATGGACCATTACGGAAATCTGTCCCTAAGTCTTCACATCAGTTATTTGGTTTCGAGGCTGAAGTGTCTGTTGTTACAGACACTTCTTCGCATCAAAACATGTAGCACAGTCCTTTTGGACTACCCCAAGCCCGAAACAGCTTGTTGGGATGCTAAAGGAAAAACTCCCAGAAGTCAAATCATTGTGCCCATTGCAATGTTTTCCATGCAGTTGTGTTTTTATTGCCTCTCTACTCTTTGCATTGGTATCACTGTTGTCAGTGTGTACCTCTGTGGAAGAATAGGAACACTGCATTATCTGACTGCCTCCGGTCTCTTCTCTGCCACAGGAAGTAATATTGGCACCCTGTTTGCTACGGACATGGATGAGGAGGACACCCTTAACTCTCGTCTGCAGTTCAAAATCCAAAGTCAGGTTCCTGCTGTTCCTGCAAGTAATCTGTTCTTTATTCAACAAGACACTGGGATTTTGCAGTTAACTAGCCATTCGTTAAACAAGCGCATTGCATCCAACTATTCCTTGAAGGTGCTGGTGACGGATGCAGGTATGTGACGCCTGTAGTTATACATCAGAATAATTTCGTTTGCATCAGCATCCCCCGTCCTCACTGTCCAAGGGATGAGAGGACACCTGGAGGATTTGCTGGACAGGAAGCAGCACTGAGAGCTGGCTTGCTCTGGCGTGCTACTGCCTTGTTCTCAAGATGCAGGGAGGTTAATCATGATTCATAACGCAAGTATGGAAGGAAACCAGCTCTAGGGCAGAGCGTGGATAAACTGGGAAGCTTGTTAAAAAGTACTCCATTAAGACATTTCCTTCCACAGGGGAAAAAAATGAAGAGATCATGATTGTGGTTTTCCTCCAGAATCTTTCAAAGGGACTCACTGAAGAAAACCAAGAAATTAAACACAGCTGCTCAGAGAGTCCAGATAATGTATTTTAAAAGATTAAGAGCTGAAATTAATCTTCAAAAAGAATTTTGTCCAATATGTAAGTTCCCAGGAGTCCTTTGAGGTTCACTGGATGGAAAGGAAAAGAAACTCCATGCTCAAAGCTTTGTGCTGGAGTCCTTATAGTCAGGCAAAACTTGTGGATGAACTGGCAGGTAAAGAAAAGAGTGTGGCATGTCTGTAAGTGAAACAACATCACTTAGGCAGATGATATGAAAATCTTGCAGAGTGATTTGTTTTGGATGCTTATTTGAATTCCATCCAAACAGTTTTGTTTAGAATATTCCTTAACTTTCAGCTCATGAAACAGGTCTGTAAAACACTAAAATCCAGCTACATATGAATGGCACACGACCAGACAGAGTATGCTTTGAAAATCACATACCCCTACTCAGGTGGCGCCTAGATTTACATAGGTCTGAAGTTTAAGTCTGGCTGTAACAAAAATGGGGATGTTTCCTGATGGCTTACCAAGAGGACAAGGTAGCATAACAACCTGGGGCTTACTTTTTGACATGCAAAAGTGATATTGAGAAAACTAACACAATTCATAGCTATCATTGTCCTGGTAAAGGGATATGGTTAAAAAAAGTGAGAGAAATTAAATGAAATGGGATGGGACAATGCTGAAGAAATTGGGAAGATTAGTAAGAGAGTGAGGTTGCCACTGACTACGAGCAAGTGCTTCTTACAACAGCAGGACTTTGCTTGATAATTTGTCAGTGCTCACTTTTCCTCACAGTGAACTCTTTTGGAGGAAAGTTATTTTCGGCAGAAGGATTGCCGTGACGTTGTTTGTTCCCTTTCCATGCAGTATTCCAGACAATATGTGATGTGCAAATACATGTCATTGACATCAATGATCAGATTCCCATCTTTGAAAAATCAGATGTGAGTATTTTTAACACCGCTTTTGGTGTCCCAATAACTTTTGACAAATGTTTTAGCATATGTTCAATGTCTATAGAATGTCAATGGGAAACTAACCATTTACAGAACAAGTAACAGAGCAATCCACTAGCAAAAATAATGGCAATGTATTGCTGCAAAGCGTGTGTATAAGCTCTATGTAGACAGTGAACATTGGGACAGACTCGTAGTTAATTCTGAAATATAAAGCAATTTGCTCAGTGGAAAACTACATGTACAGAAAAAAATGAATCTATTAAATTCATAGATTTGAAATGTAAGAAATGTAAGTTCTGGAGGGAAAGGCGGAGGAAAAGGCTTTACAATTAATTAAAATAGCTAAATAGAAAAACGCTAACATCTCCCAAGTTCCCTTCCAAACACAATATTAATGTATCCAGAAAAGCCAGAAGGTGAATGGAAATCAAAGGCTCTATTTACTTTAACCAGAAACAGTGGTCCAATGATCCATGCCCAAATGCATACCTGCTGGCCCTTTCTTCCAGAATGGGTGTCAGGCGTTTGCTTTTTCCTCTGTTGGAGGTGCTGACATCTGGCAGAGAGGCCTGCAGACCTCCTGTGACTTTTGCCTGTTGGTCCAAGCCTCCCTGCAGACACTGCAGTGGCTGGAGTGTCTACATTTAGGTGTCTGAGCTCCCACCATACTTCTAGGCAATGTAGGCAGTGGGCTCAGGAGAGCTGTCTGGCCTATCAGGTGTAGGCATCCTCTTGGGGAAGCCATGTTAGTTTTTGTCCACCTATCTGTTGATGATAATGGGACCTTAGGTACATGCAGACTAGGTGCCTACGTAGCAGGCTGTTGACTTTCTCACCTCAAAGTCTCAGTGCAGGACCAGGTCTCAAGATGAGACTGCTTGGTCAGGATGCACATCAAACAGAGCAAATGGAGCTGGGTTGCTAATGTGGCAATGGCCTATGGTGCATGCAGCAATTAAATCTTTATCAGCTAGTGGCTAGGGAACTCAGTGGGTACAGAGGAGCTGTACTGTCGCTACTGCTGTGAGCATTATATGAACGTGGAGAGGTTTCAACAGAGGAGGTAAAGGTTTGGGACTTCCTATATTAGTAGCTTGTCCACTGACAGAGATCCCATCACCTTTGATAAATGTATGGCTAAAGTGGGGATACAGCAACTTTGCAGGGGCTCTTAGTGCCCGTCTTGCAGCTCTGGGCTCCCCTGGGCAGCGGGGTAGCTCACCTGTACCACTGCAAGGCATTTTACTAATGCTTTTGTACGTCTCTCTAATCTGCTTATGTCTCTGCTGTGAAGTGCACCCACCGCTTCGCTCCTTCACACGGCTGCTGTGGGTTAAAATACATACGTGCTTGTGGGTGGCAAGCTTGTTGTAGCGCTCAAGTTTTTATCTGCAGATGGTGCTTTGTGTGTCATGTTTCAACGATCTCTCTTTCCTCAGTATCACAATGTGACTGTTGCAGAAAATCTTCCAGTAGGAACAGTGATATTAGAAATTCAAGCTACTGATGGAGATGAGCCTGCCACAGGGAGCTCCTACATCATTTACCAAGTGAAGGAAGGAGATCCAGACAACACGTTCATCATAGAGACAGATATTGAAACCAACCGAGGGTTCGTCAAGATTAACAAGGTGAATAGATGGGTTTATTCTTCTCCTTTATATATATATATATATACATTCTATTTGTCATAAACATAAACTGCCCTGGTGATGACTTGCAGAGGGGGTTGTTGGCTGGTGGTGGTGTGAGGACACCCTAAGCATGGAGAACACTGCAGGAGGCCCCACTCTTGAGCTCAGGCGCTGTGCCTGGGCAGTGCTCAGGCACACCTCTCCTCCTGCCTTTGCTGTCCCCTGCCCACCCACCACCATCAGCAGCTCCCTCCACTGGCTCTACTGCTGGCCCCTTCTCCAGCAGAGCAGGCTTTGACCAATGAAGTAGGTCTTTATGCACCATAAAGAAAAAAATGGCATTATTTGAGTGATTTTGCAGCAGTGTTTCTGGAAAAGAGAAAGCCAGCTAAATGCTTCTATGGGCTGTGGTAGTGGTGTTGGGCTGTCATTGGGCACATCCTCCTTCTGCTGCTGTTCTGGCCTGTTGGTGGCAAAAGCCATGGGAGCAATGGGAGCTGCAAGTGAGACCAATATGTCAGGATGAAAAGGCAGTTTGTTCCTAATGAAGCAAACATCAGCTGCAACAAAGCCAGGGTCAGCGCGTGCTGTGATGGGTGATGCAACCCATACGTTGAATGCTGATGCTGAAGACAGGAATACAAGGAACACTTTCTTCTGTGTCCATGAATTTAAATCATTTTCCAAGGGGTGACATGTTGTTTGCATCCAGTTCACCTGCCGCCAGCTGGGCCAAAGGCAGGCGGATGCAATGTTTGGTAGATGATCTTCAGGCTCAACCTCAGCATTATTTTTTCCCAAGGAGGCCATTGTGAGAAACTCTGCAGTGTAACAACCCTCGCATGACTTTTGTCACCCGGAGGTCACCCGAGGCCTTCTCGTACAGAGCTATAAATACTATTGCTGTAAACAGGATATAGTTATTAAACTTAGTCAGACAGGTGGCAACAGTATTAGGAAATGCAGTTGCTGAGGAGGCCTCCAAATGGGCATATGGTTTCATTTAGATTGACCATTCCCAGTGTCATTTTGCTCCTGACAGCTGTTATTTTGTCTGTATCTGGGATACAGTCTCCTCTTTGAGAAGACGGGGACTTTGTGGTTTCCCATAGGAGCTCCCCAGGGCAGTAGGACCATTGCTTAAAGCACCCTTTTTTTTTTTTAATTTATCCAGGCTCTTGATTTTGAAACAGCTCCGGTGTACAACCTGGTGATCAATGCCACAAACCCTGAACCGTTGGTGCCAGGCGTGCAGTACAACTCAAGCTCCCTTACCTTGTTTAAAGTTTTCGTAACAAATGTGGATGAGCCACCTGTTTTCCACAAGACAGTTTATAAAGGAGAAGTGTCTGAAGACATTCCTGTCAATACCCTGGTCATGATGGTGGAGGCCTATGATCCTGAGGGGGATACTGTACGGTAAAGAAGAGTGACCATGATCTATTTATTAAATTTAGGCTTTAGAAAATTGTTCTAAAAGAGGTACAAGGAAAACATGCCCAATATTTAGCATGTAGGAAAAGACTTTTTTACAAAACTCTCATCTCCTAGTAGAGGTGGAGGTGTGGTGGGGTGATGGCTGGTGACTTACCTGCAGCAGACTTCTGGGCAGTGCTTTTCTAACCAGCTTTCTCTCTGTTCTGTGAAAAACATCAGCCAGGGGAGCCCTGGAACCAGGAAACTAAAATGTCTATCTCCAGCAAAAAGGCAGAGCTGGTTGAGAATAACAGGGTTTCCATACCCATAATGCCTTTAACGAATGAATGAATCACATACTGCGTACCCCTAGGAATCATTAAGACAGTAGCTGCTTTTCATGTTGCACAGGAAACCGCACAGGGCGTTTTCTCCACCAAAACACACAACCTGTAGTGAAGCTCAAGTCTATAACTGATTATTAATTAATTTTATTTTCCAACTGCCAAAGACGATATGCCTGTTTCCACTGCGGATGCAAAGCTCTGTGCAAGACAACTCCTATGCTTGTTGAGTGGGATGCAAAACCTGCAAACTGCCTCATTTGGTGGCCCAATGCCATACTGTATGGTCAAGTCACCTTGGGTCTCTGCCAGCTCATGGATCTATGCACAGTGCTGTGTTGCGTGGTGTAAATGTACCTTACACAGTAGAGTCAGACAGACGAATTATTTATGGCTCTTGTGCACAATTCCCAGCTGGGATGCTGAACAGATCAACCCCAAAAAAACAACCCTTGAAATTTAACTAAAATTCAGCAAAACACCACGTAGTTAATGGAGTTGCAGAATATGACCGTTAGGCCTCCCATGGATTTTAATTCCCAGAGGTTTCTGATCTGGCTTTCTACTTTCCCCTAACTTTTGGGAACTTAGCATGTTTGGCCTTCTGTCAAACTGGTTTGAAAGTGAGCCACATAGTCCAGAAGCTCTGGGGGATGATGACAGAGACAGATGATAGGAATTCATATTTACATAAACCACATTTCTGCTAAAAAATAGGTTAAAGTACACAAAATAAAAAGTATAAAAAGTAAAAGATGTACAAGCATGTCAGCATGCTGTTTTTAATGCAAGGGGTACTGAAAGAACAAAAGTGTTGAATGAGAAGGTCAGGTCACATCTACTCAAGCAAATGCCTGTGCTTTGACTGGGTCATATGTTCATGGTTAAATTTGTATAAGTAAATACCCAGAGAACTTGGGTTTTTTTTAAACAATAATATAAAGGCAATTATGTGGTGATGTTTAAAGTACTCTCTGTTCCAAGGCTGCCTGATGGTAATTACAGGCTGCTCCAGACTGGCAGCAGGTGACCACTATAGTCTAGCTCAGGGTCCTGGCCCCTTGCTGATCCAAAAAAGGGGTCTGCACTACTTCCTCTCTCCCCCAGCCTTTGGCTTATGCCCCCATCAAAATGAAGGCATGGAAGATGTGATGGGGAGAGAGGGACATGGGGTTGGGACAGAGTGCACTTCTGGACCAAAAGTTCGGGAGCACCCCAGATTCCCCAGTTAGGAGGAAGATAGAGTTGCAGTACACAGGCTGGAGAAACGGTGGCATTCCCACAGTCCTGCCCTCGCTCTTCTCAATGATTTTGGCCTCCATTACTCTGTCTGTCTCTCCTGGTTGGCTGTAGTACTGGGACTCTTCCAAGAACCATCTCTTTGAGTACAACTGTAATCAAGCTGCTTGCCTAAAATCAATAAAGAAGTATTTGCTTTGTCATCAGTTTTTCCTGATTTGGACTCATATATGTGACTTTTTCTTATTTCTTTCCAAAGATACTCCCTAGAAGGTGACATGAGGAAATGGCTGAGGATTGATTCAATCACTGGGCAGATACACACTGCTTCCACTTTGGATCGAGAACAGCAAGAAATGTACACGGTTGATGTTGTTGCATCAGAACTAAGTAAGTGATGAAACAACTACATATACACACAGCGGAATCTGATGCCCTTACTGCTTTATGAGGAATTATCGTACCTCCCATGTGTAAACCCATGAAAAGTATAGGAACATGTGATGTATCCTTAGAAGTATAAATTTCTTAAGACCTTAACTTTCTTAAAAGAAATCTTGATGTTGTTGATAATGAGGATTAAAATAGCTTTCATGAAGTTAGCTATCATACGCCGTTATATTTGTTTGAGCCACATGGCATATAGAGAAGGTTAGAATTTTTTCAGTGTTTTTGGCATCAATGTTTTCTGCTACTTTTTCCTCTATAGCTATGAAGATTTTAGTCTTTCTTTGCAGGTATGTTTAAGCTTCCTGAAAACATACCTGAAGCATAACTTGCAACCTTGTACAGAACTTCATTTTATTATGAATAGAACCAATACACTAGTTAGTCTGAAAGATATTAGGGCACCTAGTTCCAGCCATTAGAATCTTTCACATAGTCCATCTGGGGAGATTTCATTATGTGATTTATATTGAATAGGGGTTAAAAACTCTGAACTATAACTGATTGAATGAGGTATAAATCTAGATTTCCCTTAATAAACACAGATAAATAATAAATAAAAAATATAAATATATAAATATATGTTATATAATATAAATGTTTTATATTAAAAATATATGTATATTTATATAAGTATAAACAATAATGCTAGCCACTGTACTGGGGGTTATAGATAATGATGCAGATTGTGTATGTCAGGAAAAAGGAGTGCTTCCTTGAGCATAGAGATGGAGTGGGGCTGTTCCTGCAGGAACAGACTGGAGAAGTGACAGGGCTCTGAAAGGTCTTCTTGGGCCCTTTGTCTTGGCCCCAAGGCAGAATATTGACTTTCATTTCCTTTACATAGAAAAGAGATGGGAAACTTAAGGAGTTTCATGCTTAAAAGAGTGCTCCAAAGAGCACTGCTCAACTTGGATGTGACTGCTTACCAGATATGATGGGTGTGACTGCTTATTAGATACAATGTCTACTGTACCATTGTCTATCTGCCTCCTTTCACTTGCTAGTGTTCTTTAGTTAGCAAGAGTTGGGGGTAAATAAACCATACTTTTGAAAAAGTGGTGGCAGCTACCATGAGTCCCTCAGGACCTCCTGAGACCTTGCCTCTGCAACCTGCAGACAGAGTACCATCTCCCACTGCCTGCCTGATGGTGCACCTATACAATAGCTGCAAATGCAACAACCCAGCGCGTTAAGTCCAAGATGTGCCTGTAACTTTGCATTCTGTTAAACTCAACAGAAAATGCAGCTCAGAAATCCAAAGCAACCTTGATACTACACCTAATTGATGTGAATGACAACCCTCCACAGTTAGCTATGGATTATCCTCCTTTCTTCTGCCACCCACTCAGTGGAGGAGAGAAGGCTTTAATTCAAGCTACTGATGCTGACGAACAGTTGTATTATTCAACATTTTCTTTTTCTCTCGTGGATTATATGAATACAAGAAATAACTGGGAAATCTCAAAAGTCAATGGTAAGTTAATAAAACTATTCTTACAATGATATAGGACTCTCTAAGTACTCTGGGAAATATAAAGAAATATTGAATTCCTTTTCATTCCTAGTAGTGCATATAGAAAAAAATTAGGTTGTTGAGAAATTACGCATATTTTTGCATGTATTTATTTGAACACCTAAGTCATTAATATTTTTTTTCAAGAGATTACATCTAGTATGTCACAAGCTAAAATTTCACTAGTACTTATGAGAGAAGAGACATGTAAGAATAAAATGTACTGTGTGCTTAAATGAATACAAACCGCTTCTGCTAAAGAAATAAAACAGTTTGCAAACTATTTCTGATACTGCATGTGCAAAAGGGAATCATGCCTCACAAACCAACTGGAGTTCTTTGAAGGGGATTAGTAAGCACATGGGTAAGTGCTTGGCCAGTAGAGCCTGTCTGAATTCCTAAAAGACGTTTGATGAAATGTCCCACTAGAGAAAGGTGGGTTGCCACAATGTGAAAAGGACAAGTTTTGAAAGGATAAATAGTAATTTAAAATTCAGAAGTTGGAGTAAATGGTCAGCTCTTGCACTGCAGGCTGTTCATGTACAGTTTTAACAAAGGGGCTTTTGCTAGGACCTGTGTAGGTCAATAAATATGGGTGTGCAATGAGGAGTTATTTGAGTAGGAACGAAGTGTGAAGAATTGCAGGACATCCTTGCAAGACCGAGTTGATTGAACAATATGGCAAATTCAAATGAAACCCAGACCCCCAAATTCACATTTGAAATCATGGGTGCTGAGCTGGCATGAGCCAAGAGTGAGACCTGTAAGCAGTCCCATGAAAATGTGAGATCAAATTATTAGTAGTGTTCAGAAATGCAGATCAAATATTGGGAATTACTAGGAAAGGACCAGAGAATAAATTAGAGAACATCACTATGCCCCTGTATAAATCCATGATTTGTTAAAACCTTGAACTCTGGTCTCTCCATCTCCAAAAAGATATAGTAGAACTGGAAACAGGTTCAGAGAGGGTCACAAGGATAACCAGGGTTATGGAGTAGTCTGATATAAGGAAGTGTATGGAAGCAGCAAGGTAAGCTACTACTTTTTAGTTTGGAAGAGAGTAGGGAAAAAAATACAATAGAGGTCTATAAAATCATGAAGGTCAGCGTGGTCAGATGTTCATCATTTGCCTTCTCTTCCAGTACACAAACGTGGGAGCCTCAAATGAAGCTTATGGGAGTTACTTCCAGTGCAGATAGCAGGAGGTAGTTGGCTGTGGAACTTGTTGCTATAGGGTGTTGTGTATGCAGAAAGTTTCTACAAGTTCAAAGCAAGAAATTACATCTCGCTCAAGAAGTCCTTGAGCTGAAAATGGTTGAAGGCTGGGAGAACATTAGGAGAAACTAAAATGCATGCTTGCTTTTTTATGGTAATCTCCACTTGTTCTAGAGACAAAATACTGACATCGATAGACCTTTGGTCTGATCCCAATGGCTGTTTGCAGTCTTACTTTTCCAAGTTTTAAAGAGTTTTAGATATGACAGTTTAAATGCACTAGAAGGATAATCTGTCCTACTAAGTATCTTGGGAACAATTTAAGTTGGTTATGACTTCTATGAGTATGAGGGGATATTCTTGATTTAGATGTCATGCTATCAGTGTAGCACTGCCCAAGGTCAGATTTGGCCTGCTGTAGAAATTAGGAAGGAAATTCTCTGACCATGTTATGCTGAAAGCCAGACTAGACATTCAGAGAGTCCTTTTTGACTTAATGTCTGCAAACCAGTGAGACCTGGGAAGACCTGGGGGAAAACAGAACTACCATCATGTGCAAAGCAGCCTTAAAAAAGAGCATTTGTTGCTGGTATGAACGTTGAGCTGAATTTCTTTCTTGTGCTGACATGAATGTCCCATTTCCTACTTACAGCTACTCATGCTTACCTCTCTCCGAAACATGCTAACTTTGAAGAGAAGGTGTATAATGTTCCAGTAATAATTAATGACAATGGAAAACCACCTTTGGAAAGAAAAGTGAATCTTGAAGGTATACTATGCACAGAACTATCCATTTCAAGACAACAGTTACATTTATGAACAGTCAAACTGGACTACTAAACTCCTCAATAACCTCATGGCATTTCTTTTTGCAGTAAACATCTGCAAGTGTTCAAGTGAAATGTCGTGCTTTATTGAAGTACAGCGTGAGCACTTCTGGCCAACCACCAGCCAGGCAATTGGGATTCTTATTGGGGTCCTGCTTATCATTGGTAGGTCACTTTTTCTTGGTTGATATGAAGCCAGGTCTCCAAGATATGATGGTGTTGCTGCATTTCTGACACTGATTCACTTGATGGGTGAAGATATGTCATGAATGTTGCAGAATGAGCAAAAGAGGGAAGGCCTCATGTTTTTGTATCATGATTGCTGCAAATTTCTAAGTTTTTGGTCATAGCAATAACTGCATGCATGTACAGTGGCACAGCAATTAGCTACGACAGAAGAAAATGCTGTAGCATATTGTCATTTCATTGTTACCTACAGCCTTTTTCCTGTCAGAGAGGGGATTGGAGCCTTGTCTTTGGCTTCCAGATTATAGTGGAAATAGTGAAGCATCCAGGGATGCCATGCTTACTATGTCTGTACCTGTAGCTTACAATTATGATTTTATTCACCTATTTCAGCTTTGTAGGTTTCCATTTTTCATAGGGAGAATTGCTTTGAGCTGTGGGAAACTGGCATTTACATGAACAAAGTACAGTTATATTGTTAAGCAGTACCGAACAGTATTATCTTCTTATAGGCATGAGCTGATGCAAAGCTGATGCAACTTCAACGAGTAGCTTAAAACTCTTTCCAAAACAAGACAAAATCTTTTTTTATATCAGAATAGAATAGCATAGCATAGCATAGCATGCAACAGAATCGTTCCGTTGGAAGGAACCTACAACAATCATCTAGTCCAACTGCCTGACCACTTCAGGGCTGACCAAAAGTTAAAGCATGTTATTAAGAGCATTGTCCAATTACTTCTTCAACACGGACAGGCTTGGGGGATCAACCACCTCTCCAGGAAAACTGTTCCAGCGTTTGACCACCCTCTCGGTAAAGAAATGCTTCCTACTGTCCAGTCTAAATCTCTCCTGACACAGCTTTGAACCATTCCCACACGT